CTCTGCTGAGGGCACCCCAGGAGTGGCCGCGGCCACTGGTGGGGCCTGGATCCATGCAGCAGTTTGCTGGCAGGGCAGATGATGCTGCAGATGAAGCAGCAGCTGCACTGCCCAGCACACCCTGCTGTCCTCCACGCTGCCCACGCTGCCCACGGTGCCCACTGCACCCACTGCCCACCACCCCAACCATCCTCTGCACCGTTCATCACCGCAGCGCCTTGCCCACGGCCGCCGCTCGCCGCGTGTGATGCCAGAGCAGAGCAGGGCAGGGCAGGGCCTGGGGAGCCCCGGGGGTGCCCCAAGCTCCCCGCAGCCCTGGGGAGCCCCGGGGGTGCCCCAGGCTCCCCGCAGCCCTGGGGAGCCCCGGGGGTGCCCCAGGCTCCCCGCAGCCCTGGGCTCGCCCTCGCCGGGCAGCAGCGCTGCGGGTGAGGCTGGGGACAGGGACCGCAGCCATCGAGCGCGGCCACGCTGCCACAGGCACAGCTGAGCCCGGCCGGCTGCGGCTCCCGCAGCCCCCGGGGACGTTAAACAAACAGCGTGTTGTCACCAGCCCGGGCTGATCGACCCGGCCCCGGGGACCCCCGAGCACAGCAAAACCCCCCTGGGGAGCACAGCCCCCCCCTCCAGCTTGACCCTGCACACGTGCGGGGACACACGCGGGGACACGGGGACAGCATCGACCCCCGCAGCCCCCCAGAGGCCCCGCACGCACTCACACGCGGACTCACCCTGGGGATGGGTGTGGGGCCGCGGTGGTGTGAGCTTGGGGTCCCCAACACCCCCGCCACAGCCCCCTGACAATGCAGGGCCCCCCTTATCCACCCCACGCCCCAGGGTGGCCGTGGGGGCCAGCGGGGTGGGAGGTGCAGCCACCCCCCACCCCCATCCGGGGTGATGGGTGCACCTCCTGGGAGCTGGCACCCTTGGGTGCCCCCCGGGTGGGGTTGTCGTGCTGGATTAGAGGCCGAGGTTTTTGAGGGACGGGTTTGGGAGGTGGATTTGGGGTGCGGGTTTGTGGGGAGGGTTTGGGGTGCTGGTTTGGGCGAGGTTTTGGGGCTCAGCCGCAATCCCGGGCCCAGCCGCGCTGGGGAGCGCCGGGAGGGGTGGGGGGCTGCAGGGAGCCGAGCTCGCATCGGGGCGGGGGGAGCTGCTGCCAGCCCAGGGACGAGCCCCCGCCTCGCCCGCAGGATGGGGACGAAATGGGGACGAAATGGGGACGGAATGGGGACGGATGGGGATGGGGATGGGGATGGAGGGAGAACGGGGACGGGGATGCTGCTCCCTCTTCCCCCCCTCCCGCGGACTCCCCGCCGAGCCCCCGCATTGTCCGGCCTTTGTCCCTGCAGGATGCGGGGTGTAACCGCTGCCCGACGCTCCCGATTCCCCCCGAGCCCCCCGATCCGCCCCGAACCCCTCCTGTCCCCCAATGTCCCCTCCGATCCTCCGGGTCCCGCGGGACGGAGCCGCGCCCGCCGCACGATGCGGCGCAGCCGGGGCCGGCGGCATCCCCGCCGCGGGGAGGGGGCTCGGATCGGGGACCCCCGGTGCATCCGAGCCCCGCCAGCCGCCCCCGCGCCCCGATCCCCCCCGGCCCCTCCGCGGAGCCCCCCCCATCCCTGGCGGAGCCGCCGCGACCCCCGGGGGCTCGGGGGGTGCGGGGGGCAGGTGCGGCCGTACCTCATCCCCGGCGGTGCGGAGCGGTGCGGGGCGGTGCGGGGCGGTGCGGGGCGGTGCGGGGCGGTGTGGGGCGGTGCGGAGCTGGGCGAGGCTCCGGCGCGGCCCCGAGCAGCCGCATCCCGCCCCCGCCCCCCGCTCTCGGTCGGGATTTTCCAGCGGCGCCGCCGCCGTTAGAGGGCGGCACCGGGGGCTCCCCGCGCCCCCCCCGGGCCGTGCGGGGCGGGGGGAGATGGGACCCCCCGGAGGGCTCGGCTCCCCTCCATCCACCTCTTTTCCAGCCTCCGCAAAAACGCCGGGATCTGCCCCGTCCCCATGTCCCGGAACGCACCTGCCGCGCCCGATCGGACCGGTCCCGGCAAACCGAACCGGTCCCGGCAGACCGAACCGGTCCTTCAGACCGAATCTGTGCCCCGCGAGCCGCCCGGTGTCACCCCCCATGTCCTTGGGGACCCACCCAAGATGCGACAGCACCGGCTGAGCCCCGGGATGAGCGGGACCCTCACGACGACCCCCACTGTTACCCACCGAGGTCAGTGTCACCCACCGAGGCCACTGTCACCCACCGAGGCCACTGTCACCCACCGAGGTCACTGTCACCCACCAAAGCCACTGTCACCCACCGAGGTCACTGTCACCCACCTCCCAGCTGGGGTGTCCTGGCCCCCTCGGCATCGCCCCCCCGGGGCTGAGAGTCCCCAGCCAGACAGAGACCCCAGGACGGAGACCCCAGGACAGAGACCCCAGGACAGAGACCCCAGAGGACAGAGACCCCAGGACAGAGACCCCAGCACAGGGACCCCAGGACAGAGACCCCAGGACAGTGACCCCAGGACAGGGACCCCAGGACAGGGACCCCAGGACAGAGACCCCAGGACAGTGACCCCACAGGACAGAGACCCCAGGACAGGGACCCCAGGACAGGGACCCCAGGACAGAGACCCCAGGACAGGGACCCCAGGACAGAGACCCCAGGACAGGGACCCCAGGACAGTGACCCCAGGACAGGGACCCCAGGACAGAGACCCCAGGACAGGGACCCAGCTGAGTGACCCCAGCCCTCTTCTCCCCGCTGCCACCCAAGGGTGGGAGCAGGACTCCCAAGGTCACATTGCTTGAACAAAAAGGGACCCGGAGCCTGGGGACCTTCCCTCGAGGACAAAGGGCACCACCGGCCACGGGAATGGGACACAGAGGGGACCCGAGGGACCCCGAGGAGTCCCCAGGGGACCCCAGCCAGCAGCAGGGACAAGGCAGGACCAGCCTGGGGACAAACGGTCCCTTCACTGCCATTGGTGCTGGGGACCAGCATTGGGTTAATTTGGCTCAGTCCAGGGACAAACCAGATCATCCACCCGGGATGAACTCATCTCCCTTCCCATCATCACTCACCCCTGAGCATCCCCCAAAACATCCATCCCTCCCAGCCTGAGCTGCAAACCCCCAGTTCACCCCCAGCCCGATGCCACTGGGATCCCTGTCACCAAAATCCTTTGGGTTCCCAAATTAAGGAAAGAAAGCAATAGTTTGGGGTTTTGACATCCCATGACAGGCCTTGGCAGCTTCTCCTGGGACCCAGGCTGGTCCTGAGCCTGGGAACACCCCCTGCCTTTCCCCAGTCCCACATTTCCGCATTCCCAGTATTTTTATTAACAAATAAAGTTAAATACATGGAAATGCTGTAAACATTAAAGTGCCACTGCCCACTTCCCAGTGAAGAACAAGGAATTTAATTCATTCACTAAACCCAGATGATTTGTTTGCTGCAGGTGCTGACAGAAAGCAGTGCCAAAAAACCTGGGAATACTCAGGGAAACATCCAATGAGGGTGGAGTGGAGTTCAGCACCTGCCAGACCCCCACCCCGGGAATGGAGAGGCAGGAGACAGAGGGATCCAGGTGGAATTTCTTTATTTACACTGCAGGAGGCTCCCTCCCGAGGTCACTTGAGCGGGATGAAGCGGGAGGAGTGGGTGGCGCCGATGCCGGGCCGGCCGTGCTTCACCGGCTTGTACGTGATGGAAAACTCGCCCAGGTAGTGGCCGATCATCTCGGGCTGCAAGTGGAGACATCCGTGCTGGGGACAGCGCCGGGGGCACGGGGACATCCCTGCCGTGCCCATGCCAGGGCTGCCCGGTTGTTCCAGCCAGGCCCTCCCCGGTGCCCTGATGTGGAGCCAGAGGGGCTTCCCCGGCTCTGCCCCTCCTGGGAGCTGCCACGGGAGCCACGGTGGCATCTGTGCCCTTCCAGGCTGGGTTTAACACCAGGGAGGAGCAAGAAGTGGCATTTAATCCCACTGGTGGCATCAAGTGGCAGCGCTCCCTGGGTAATTGCACTCCTGGGGAAGCTCAGGGATCTGTTTCATCCCGGGCAGGCTGGGAGCCAGGATCCACAGGGATCACTCCAGCTATTCCAGAGCCACACTGAGACCCCTCTGAGAGCTGGGCCTGTCTGGGGTGACACCTCCAGGTGTCCCTCTGAGCCAACCCCGCTCCCAGAGGAGCCCGGAGCCCTCCCAGGCACAGCAACGAGCAGGATTTACAAAGAGCTGGAAGTGAACACTCGGGCGCTGAGCTCACCGCGAGAGCCGCCGGCCAGGCCCCAGCTCACCTTGATCTCCACCTGGTTGAAGGTTTTGCCGTTGTAGACGCCCACCATGCTGCCCACCATCTCGGGCAGGATGATCATGTCCCTCAGGTGGGTCTTCACCACCTCGGGCTTCTCCATGGGCGGTGCTTCCTTCTTGGCCTTGCGCAGGCGCTTGAGCAGCGAGTGCTGCTTGCGGCGCAGGCCGCGGTTCAGGCGGCGCCGCTGCCGCGCGCTGTACAGCTGCATCAGCTGCTCGCTGCCGGGGGACAGGGGCAGCTCAGCGACGGCCCGGGGACCCCAGAGACATCCTGGGGACCCCAGAGCCATCCTGGGGACAGCCCGGGGACCCCAGAGCCATCCTGGGGACAGCCCGGGGACCCCAGAGACATCCTGGGGACCCCAGAGCCATCCTGGGGACAGCCCGGGGACCCCAGAGCCAGCCCAGAGACCCCAGAGACATCCTAGGGTACAGCCCGGGGACCCCAGAGACATCCTGGGGACAGTCCGGGGACCCCAGAGACATCCTGGGGACAGCCCGGGGACCCCAGAGACATCCTGGGATACAGCCCAGGGACCCCAGAGCCAGCCTGGGGTACAGCCCAGGGACCCCAGAGACATCCTGGGATACAGCCCAGGGACCCCAGAGACATCCTGGGGTACAGCCCATGTACCCTAGAGCCAGCCCAGGGACCCCAGAGCCATCCTGGGGACCCCAGAGCCAGCCCAGGGACCCCAGAGCCAGCCCGGGGACAGCCCAGAGCCAGCCCATGGACCCCAGAGACATCCTGGGGACAGCCCAGAGACCTCAGAGCCAGCCTGAGGACCCCAGAGCCAGCCTGAGGTACAGCCCGGGGACCCCAGAGCTAGCCCAGAGACCCCAGAGACATCCTGGGGTACAGCCCAGGGACCCCAGAACCAGCCTAGGGACACCAGAGCCAGCCTGGGGATAGCCCAGAACCAGCCCAGGGACCCCAGAGCCACAGAGCCTGGGCTACAGCCCCAGGAGATGGCCAGGGACCCCAAACTGAGCCTGGGAAGTAGCCCAGGGACACCCCAGGGACCCCAAAGTGAGCCTGGGGAACAGCCAGGGACCCCAAACTCAACAGCCCAGGGATCCCAACCTCAGCCTGGGGAGCAGCCCAGGGACACCCCAGGGACCCCAAACTGAACCTGGGGTACGTCCTGGAGACCCCCAAGGGTCAAGGTGAGCCAGGGGCACAGCCCCGGCGAGACCCCAAAGCCACTGTGTCACCCAGACTGGGGTGCACAGCAGGGAGAGCCCCGG